CTTTAGAATGGCCCCAGTGAAGAATGTGACAACACCAAGTGCTGATGCAGGCCAGGAACAACAGGAATTCTTCTTAGTGTTAGTGGGAACTCAAAAGGGTACAGTCTCTTTGGGAGACAGAATGCTCCCAAAGAGAGAATATGCTCCCATATTCTCTCCATATGATCTAGCAATTATGCTACTTGAGATCTTGAGATTTACTCAAAGTAGTTGAAAGCATATCTCCACACAAAAACCCATGCAGGAATGTTTTCAGGAGCTTTATTTATAACTGTTAAAACTTGGAAGTAACTGATAGTTAATCTTGCTTGTCACTAGGATGGGATTGAGAATCACCTAAGAGATTAGCAAATCACACTTCTGGGTGTTTCTGTGAGGGCCTTTCCAGAGACAACTGAGTCAAGGAGGCTCTGACCTAATGAATGGATTAATGACTGAGTCATAATATGATAGGATTGTTGGGAGGTGGTGAAAGTTAGGAGCTGAAGCCTAGATGGAGGAAACCCATGTCACTGGGGAATATCCTTAGAGTCAATATCTTGCCTGGTTCCTCCCTGCATTCCTTCCTCTGCTTCCTGGCTGCAGTATATCCAGAGTACAGAATATTATTCACTGCTAAAAAGGAAGTGAGCTAACAGATCATGGAAGACATGGCAAAAGATTAAATGACAGTTGTTAAGTGAAAGAAGTTAATCCGCAATGGCTACATATCCTGAACTGCCCTTTTCCATCATGTGCTTTCCATAATGAAGACCTGACACCTCCGCAACTGTGAGCCAAAATGAAGCCTTCCTGCTGTGCTCTTTAAGTCAGGTATTTGGTTAAAACATAGATAAGTAACTCATACAGAAAAAATTGCTGAGACTGGGGTTGTTGCTGTGACTAAAACTGACCATGAGGTTTTTAAGCCCTTGGAATTGGTTTGTGGGAGGAATTTGAAAGGGTTTGGAGAAGTGAGCTAGAGAAAGCCTAGAAGATTGCAAGCAAAGCTAAATGGGTGGTTCTGGAAGGAGCTCAGAAGATCAGAATACCAAAAAGAATGTAAACAATGAAGGCCAGGCTCATGAAGTTTCAGGTAGAAATGACAATGGTATTTCCTCATTTGGAATTTTGTATGTTACATTTTGCAAATAATTTGTCTGCATTTTGTATGTGTCCTTAGACTTCGAGTGAAGCTGAAGTTAAAACATTTTTGACTAATTTGGTGAAAGAAAAAATTTTTATATTTTAATGTCATAGTATAATGTTTCTTTTTCCTTTATTTTTATTGCTTTTGTAATGAGGGTACATTGTGATATTTACAAAAGTTCTTACAATATATCATAGTTGAATTCACCTCCTCTATCATTCTCTTTTATTCCCCAATTTTGTGGAAGAAATTTAAATGCAGTCTATAGCATGACTATTGCTGACTGCTTCTAGTCACATTTATCAGGAACAAAAGTCAGAAGAGAAACACTTAAAAACTTACAATTTAATCATGAAATGTAAAGTTGGAAGGCACAGGTCCTGGAACACTAATGCTATATTAAAAGGAAGCCAAGGACATTTCATCAGGACACTAGAAAATGTGCCTTAAGAGCATGTCAGGAATTGGCCAGACCCCACCCATTGCAGACTCAAGGATATAAAAGACTAAACACATTTGAATGGTCTTGCCTTGGAAAGAGAGTTCCCCCACCTCTATGACACCCTGTTCACACATGGCTACCTAGGAAGTCATCACCCCAGGATTCCTTCCACCATGTTCAGTTTCTGAGGCACCAAAAGGCCAGTTGTTTGTAGTAGAAAGGAGCTCAGTTACCAGTGGATCTGTTGGCAGACCTTGGTATCTTCCGTGTGATGCTGAGGCATGCAGAATACAAGATTTACAGGTCAAAAATGCTTCCCTGTAGATTTTAAAGGAATACCTGGGAGGCTGGCAATGTATAGATTGGTCAGATTCCCTGTAAGATGCAACCTGAGAAGGTGAGTCATAAAGCTGCAATGATGAAGCCTAAACTTCAGTGGAGACCCCAGGATGTTGGAGATGCCAGGAATGTGGACCCCTTGCTGAGAAAAGCCTCAGGAAAAGAGTGGAACCAGCCCTAGTGAGAAGCCATGTGGGCTGCAAATGGCAAAACCTTAGGGACAGAGTTGCTCCAGTCCATTGGAACTCATGCCACAATACTGTATGCCCTGGATGGCAGACATAGAGCTTCAGGATACAATGTTTGTCTTCCTGTCTTTCAGTCTTGCTTTGGCCCACTCCTTCCTTGCCCAACTGCAAGGGGCCAAGCAATGATGGACTGACCCTTCTGAAATAATGAGTCAAGATAAATAGTTCCTTCCTTAAGTTATTTATGTCAGGTTTTTGGTCACAGTGATGCAAAAATAACTAATACAGAAACCAAAATAATTTTATGGAAATGAATTAATATGTAAAGTGCAGTATATGTAGAGCATGAAATGTTATTTAATGCTAAAAAGAAGTGAGATAACAAGTCATAGAACCTATGGAAAAAATTTAAATAAATCTTATTAAGTGAAAGAAGTCAATCTGGAAATGCTACATACTTTCTGATTCCAATTAAATGGCAATCCAGAAAAGGTGAAGTATGGAGAGGTAAGTAATGAATAGGTAGAGCACAGAGGATGCTTTAGACAGTGAAACCATTCTAAATGATACTATAATGGAAGATACATGCCATTATACATTTCTTCAAATCCATATTGTATATGACATTACATGTAAACCCCAATGTAAACAAGACATGGGTTTTGGATGACTATGATGTGTATTGTGAGTTCATCAATTTTGACATCCTAATGGAGATGCTGATGATGGGGGAGGCTTTGTGGTGGGTTTAGCACTAGGTGAGAAATCCCTGTAGCCTCCTCTTGATTTTGCTCTAACATAGATAGACTCTAAATAATTAATTCTTTTAATGAATGGGTCAGGGGAAAGGAAGATGAAGGAGAATGATAGAGGAGGGATTGAAGTATGATATACTTGATATAAGGATTTTTGGAACTGTCATAATGTACCCCCACACAGTACAATAAAAAAAAAAGAATTGTCAAAAGCCAAATAAATAAATAAATAAATAAAATAAAAATTTGAAATGGGTGACATGCTGGGTTGTATTTCAATGACAGAGAACTTGCCAAGCATGCACAAGGCCCTGGGTTTAATCCTCAGCATGGAAAAAAAAGAGGAGTGTCATTTACAAAAACATCATGGTTGGAACAAAGAAGATGTGAAGAACAGAATAACATTGAATTTTGGCAGATATATGAATAGGTAATATACAGAAAATGAAAAGGACTTAAATATGTTAAGTGAAGCTCCATGTGATCTGCAATTACATTCATAATGCAATTAATTCATATGTATACATACATATACATATAATATATATATATGTATATATATATATAATACACATAGCTACAGAGATATGAATAGAGAGAGCCAGGGGGAGAGACAGATAGAGAGACAAGGCCTAGCAAGCAAGCAAAAGTGAAAAGCTTGGTAATTCACAATGTTTGGGAAACAAACTCTCTGCCCACTCACCACTGCTGAGGGTCTAAGTTGGTGAAAATTATCTAAGGGAAAAGTTTTTGAACCTCATCAACTACTGTGAGTTTGTTCTTTTTCTTGAATAATATTTGTTTTCCTACATTGAGTAATTGACAATTATGGTATTTTTTCTATTTTATTACATTTTCTATTTTGGGGCTGTTTTACTTCTTAATGTGCTATTCCTCAATTCATCAAGACATTTCCAATACTCTGCTGAGTTGAGGAGAGATCACTGGTTGCTTTCCATGCTGTGATGGAGAGCCTGGATGGTCTGTTACTTACACATTTTCTACCTCGGTTCACTGTTTCCACCTTCTCCCTTCCATGTTCACTTTACACACATGCACACATAGGCCCTCAAAAACACATGCACACACATACACAAGCTCACACATACACACATGCATACACACACACCCACACATGTGTACACTCACACATACATACACCACTTCCTTGGTGATTCCAGGGTAAGAGATGATTCTCATTCCTAACCCTTGCCATGAGGGTACAGAGCACTTACAGTGCTCCTTGGTAGCTTATTTCACAAGGCAGTTGTTCTTTACCTGGTCTGCTATGCAAGATTTCATATACTTTCCACTCTCTACAATTTTCTTATCACTGTAGTTGTCTCCATTTGTTCCTCTACTTTGTGGATTTGTTCTTTTTAGGGTTTTTTGCTGGTATTTTAATGGGGTTACACACCAATACAGTATAAAAATATGTGCTTAATCTTCCAATGACACTGCAAAGGAACTCACTAAGGCTTTGTTGGAAAGCCTTCTGATCTATGTAACTGACCAAGGATACTCATCACTGGGACTCAAATAATTTCTTCAATTATGACTCTACTCCTTCTCTTATGTGAACACCAGCCATGTTTACCATCTTACTTACCAAAACAGAAACCCTTCCTCTGTAGGATGAAAACACCCTTCCTCTCTACTTTGTTGTTGTACATGAGGTCTGTCCTTCTCTTTTCTCCTCTGCTTTCTTTTCTCTAAGAAGAGTTCTGAGAGTTGGGAGAGGATGGCTCTCCTGTCACCTGCCCCTCCATTCTGTTTTAGGAAGATATTATGCAGATGCCACTTTCTCTGGATCATTTGTCACCCTGAAAATATAAGAAGGCACAGCAATGTGGACCAGGGTGACCTGGAACAAGATGTGAGGCTGAATTTTTTCTATAAGGATAATCACACACAACTTCATTGTTTACAAGGTTTACTTTGAAATTACTTTGGCACTGGATGAAGAACTGTCAGTGTCACACTGTTTTCAGTTTCACTGATGAAGAGCTGAGTGTGGGGATGTCCAGTTCTGCTCTGAACTTTGTATGATTTTACAGCACCAAAGAAACAGAGGGCAACACCCCAGACTATGCTGAGACCAGAAGGATCCCAGAGCAGACACCCAGCAGCCAGGCCTCCGCTGCTGCTCAGTTTGTGCTCAGCCCAGTGGTTTCTGCCACTGTGTCACTCAGAGCACAGTAGAACACAGCTGAGTCTGACTCATGCACTGAGGCTTTCTTCAAGTGGAACGAGGTGTTCTCTCTATTGTACGTGGCTTCAAATCCTACGTGGCTGCTCTTTTCACCAGACTTTGTAACTCTGAAGAGGAGCTGTGGACCTTCTCTGGGATATTGGACATACCAGAAAAGATAAGGGAACCCTGCAGTTGTATAAGTGCAGTTTATGGTCAAGAAAGCCCCTTCTGACACTATCATTTCACCTCCCTTCTGGGTCACTGATTCACCACTGGTTTTTCCTGGAAGAAAAAAAATACAGAGTTCTGTGTCAATTGAGAATAAAGCTCTTACATGAATTTTTGTTACAGATATTGCTGGTGTCATGGAAGAAACAGTCCAAAATTTAAAACACATTTTACTTACCAAGTAGTAGGAGTATCACAACCACTAAACCTGGAGAAACATACATCTTAGAGTATCACCTAATAATGTTCTTGATTCTTTACTAAAAGAAATGCCAAAGTGATAGTGAAATGAAAAATCTAAACCTGCAACTCACATAGGAAATGAGTTTGTGTTAGAAAGCTGCACCCCTTGGTGGACAGGGAGGGAACTGGGTTGAATGTTTTCCTGAACTTCCAAAGTCAGAAGTATGTCCTCCTCCCTGACCTCATTTATAAGGTATAGGTCAGTCTTCAAGTGTGCTATGAAAATCTAAAGGACAGCTATCAGAGCCTCTCAAGTTTCTCTGTTATTGTTAATAGGCCTCTACATCACAAGAAAAGTGCTTTCATACAGAATATCCAGGGTGTATCTGTAGCTAAGCTTTCAATGTCTTGGGCATTTTGATACAGGCCTTGTATTCTTTTGTCTGTTTGGGTCATCTAGAAATGCAGTGAAATATCATGAAAGTGTTTCAGGTTAAAATCACAGGAAGTAATAAGAAGTCAAGTCACCGTTCAGTGAATCTATTTTTCATCACTGAACCCAACACATAGAGCAGACATACACATCCACTAGGTGCCCAACTCATATTTGATAAATGAAACAAAAAACTGAGTAGATGGTCTTTGGTTGAAGACTTGTGACTACTCGAGAGATTGTTTTTCCTGTGTTCTAAAATAATATCAATTTTAGGAATTGCCAACTTTTTCATCAATCCTTTCAGGGGAAATTCATTATATTTAATCGGTATTTATATCCTCCTGAATCTTAGAATCATTGAAAAGTGAAAATATGAATCAGGCAGAAGAAGCACAATATACTAGGTTATGGAATCCCTATGGAATGGTTTTAGATTAGTGTCTTACTCCCTTACTAGTTCAATGGCAGCAAGACAAGGTGGCTAATGTTACTCTCTGAAGAAGTTCTAGCTTCAAGGATGCTTTCCACACCAATGGAGGCTCAAGCCCAGTCTATTTATTGGAATTCACTCCCCACAGATTCAGTTAATGGAGGTCATGATTCTAGAGTCAGCCTTTGAATAATTTGCTGGACATACACTTCTGTAAGAAATTCAAGAAAGATATTGTTTGGACTTCTTTATCTCTTTTCTCTGTGCACCACTTCCCAATCACATTGCCAGAACCTGACATGCAGCTATCTAGAAAGTAATTCTGGAAAATGAGCTGCAAACTTCTATCCCAATGGTTATGTGGGGAGACTGCAAAATAGTTTGCAGTGTTGCTGGGGTGTAAAAATAAAGTATAGCACAGAGTTTCTGTTTCATAAAATGAAATGAATTATAGAGATGTCTGGATGCACAACAATGTGAATGTCTTAAATTCTGCTGAACTAGAAACTTAAAATGTTGAAGTCTTAAACTTTATGCTATGTACCTTTTAGCATGATTAAGGTAGTTTTTAAAATTAATAGAAAATGCTTAAATAACGTACCTAATAGACTGAAACCATTGAACAATACAAGGTTAGGGGAGAGGATAAGGAAGAGTAATGGGGGGATCTGACTAATTACGTGCAATAAGTTTACAGGTAAAATACCAAGGCAAATACCCACTGAACACTGAACAGACCCTAAAACAATGAAGGACAGGCATGAGAATACAGGTCATGTTAAGGGGAAGGTAATAGTGGGAGGGTGAGGGTAAATGAAGATGATAAAGGAAGGTGAATGTGGTGGAAGTACTTTTTGTACATTTATGAATATAGAACATTGAAACCAGTCAAAGTTATTTCAAGAAGGGGGGTGGTAAAAGAGCAAAATTAATGGAGGAGATGAATCAAACTGGGCTGCAATATATGTATATATGGAAAGGTCACAGTAACTCCACCTTATATAACTATCATATGCTAATAAAGGCTTTAAAAAAGAAATGCTTCCCTTAAATATTTATGATCTCAACCTATTCCTTCTAAACACAAACACAAGATGAAGACAAATGCAGAATCATTTATCAGCCAGTCACTGCTATCCCAATTTTATGGCATAAGAAAGTGTTGTGAGAAGCAGAAGGAAGAATTCCAGAACATGAAGAAGTTGAATTTTGGAACATTGAGGATTATCATAAGAGATGGGGTGTGTACAATGGTCCATATGGCATCAATAAATGCTTTTGTAGGAGCTACATGATGGATGAGAGCAAAGAGAGAACCATATATTGCCCCTTCACGATGACCCCCTAAGAGCTAGGAATTATTAATTAACGGGTGATTCATCAATTATGAGGCATGTAAACATAGGGTGCAGAAGTTGAGCTCTTTGTGCTGGAGTTTGTAATTAGTCTCTGAAGCATTATTAGTTCTCAGCATAAAGTATGTTACACAGTAGACAATAATTTTTAGTAGATGTGTAAATGAGCACACTTTTAAATAAATTCTGCTGTCTTTTCTGTTGATAAAACTGACTCTAGTTTGTTCACCTTCTTAATATAAATGTAATCATTTCTAGTTAATAGTGAATATTATTATTGTGCTATCTTTCTCAGTTTTGGTTTAAGAGCAGGTTGGCTCCATAAATAAAACTTGATGGCATATGCCATATCAATATATTGAAAACCATCTGTACTTTGAAAGTTAGAAATTCTCACTCAGCTGCATAACTAATACAATTTGCAAATAGATACTTTTGTACTTGGAATGTCAGTAAAAATGAATTTAAAGGAAAAAATTCAAATGAAAATGTACAAACAGATGAATATGCAGTAATAGATTTAGAAAAATTAAATTGTAGACAAAGGTAAGAATCTTCAAAATATAATTGTAGGTCATTAAGGAATTGGGAAAGTATTTTCCTTTTTATGAGAGAGTATTTTTCTGAATAAAAGACAAAAAAAACTGTTTTTCATATGTTGGTGTAATCATTAAGTCAATTTATACCCTTTTGGTATAAATTCAAACTTTTTAAATATGTTTGTTTTGATGAAAGGGTTTTGAGCATATCAAAACTGGAACAAATATTTAACATGTATATTGAAAAATAAATGGACAAGAATTATCAAAAATTCTTGTGAAAGGGTATTTCTGGGGCATTACTTTTTCTAATAGGTAACAAAGTTTACTGGAACATGACATGAAACAAATAGATCAAAAAAACTATGTTAACATGTGGAAACATAATACAGTCAAAGAGGAAAATCAAATATTAAATGTTGGTGAGTATCAGAGAAAAAGACATCTTACATGCATGTAAGTAGGTGTGTGTGTCTGTGGAGTTGATCCTCCTCATGCCCTTCTTTTTTTATTATTTTATTATTCATATGTGCATACAAGGCTTGGGTCATTTCTCCCCCCTGCCCCCACCCCCTCCCTTACCACCCACTCAGCCCCCTCCCTCTCCCTCCCACCCCCTCAATACCCAACAGAAACTATTTTGCCCTTATTTCTAATTTTGTTGTAGAGAGTATAAGCAATAATAGGAAGGAACAAGGGTTTTTGCTGGTTGAGATAAGGATAGCTATACAGGGAGTTGACTCACATTAATTTCCTGTGCATGTGTGCTACCTCCTAGGTTAATTCTTTTTGATCAAACCTTTTCTCTAGTTCCTGGTCCCCTTTTCATATTGGCCTCAGTGCTTTTAAGGTATCTGCTTTAGTTTCTCTGCATTAAGGGCAACAAATGCTAGCTAAATTTTTAGGATAACTACTTATTGGTTATTTCATGGATATGAAAGGTGCTACAGAAGCTGACCTCTTCCATGCTAGAGCTGTTAAGGAAATGGAAGCTCAAAGATTTCACATTTTAGGCACCACTAGAAATTAAATGTGACCAGCAAGTAGTCACAACAAACAAGCTTAAATCAAATTAATTCATTAAATAATGCCAAACACATATTTTTTTAAAAAAAGGAAACAGAGATTTCAAGGCCTTCAACATTTAAAACAATACTTATTCAATACATATTTCTTGAACAAATTTATAAAAAAATCTAACAGCTCATTCATTTTTTAGTGGTTTTTCTGTTATGTGTTTCTGAATTTTGTTAATCTCTTCTAGTTCAACCTGATGGCCAAATAAAAAATCACTTATATTCATTGCTCTTCTTTTTCAATTTTAGGTTAATAATTCTGTGTCTAACTTTAAGCAGAAGATTCCAGAACAGAGGTGTTTTTGGTATATGATAAGTGTGGATGAAGCCTATAAACATGGAGACATATTTTCTAAGAGTCCCTCCAACATGACACCTGTGCTGACACAGCCTTTCCTGCTTCTTGTCTAGGATGGCGATTCCCAGCCTTGGTCCCTACAGCAGGTGGACATCTTAGGCAGACCCCTAGGCTATTGTACACCTCCTTCCAACAGCCCTCTTGCTTAGCCTCACTCAGTACATAGAAATGCACTGCTGATTCGCCCAGTTGTGAAGCTGAGATGACAAGCATTTTTTTGCCTTCTGGCAATTCAGTAAGAAGCAGCCTTCTGTTGTAATCTGCTGCTTGTAAGAGTCCTGACGAATAAGGAGCACCATCTCCCAGCATCTGGGCTGCTTGTACCAGAAGAGACCATAAGTTGTATGACTAGTGTCATAAGTACACTGCAGGGCTGCAGTCTAATTGTCCTGCACCCACCTTGCTAGTTGGGCTTCAGTTACATTCTCAGCAATCCTGGATGCCAAAGGAAAAAGGTTATGGATGTGTGGTGTGGGAGAAAAAAATTTCACTTTCACACTCCACTGCTCTTTCTTTCCAAAGTCTGTCTGCGTCACTTCCTGCACCCTAGTCCATGAGTCACAGAGGAGGCCCATTCCCACTGGGACCATCCTTATCCAGCGACACTGAAGCTATGACTAACTTCAGCAGTTTGGAGAGCAGCATGCTTGTTGTCTCACTCCAACTGTGAAGTATAGTTTTCTCCTTCAGTTTCAGGGCCCAAACTGTGAGGTGAGGGTCACTGCACTGTGTGCACCTTCTTTACTAGAACAGGAAATGTCACAAATTGTCATTTATTATGTCAAACCTCTCTGCATCCTAGCTGATGGTCTACCCCAACCCAACTTCTTTTAGCATTAAACCAATC